CCCCCCCCCCCCCCCCCCCCCCCTATAATTAACGCCTCTACTGCATGTGACGTTGGATGCGTCAATTGTGATGGAGGCCTTAACTACAAGGTAAAGTAGGCTAATCAAAACAAGAAGTGAAAAATGCTATTAAAGATAAGGAGGGAAATGACCTATCGAGGTGTCAGCTACCAATCTAATTAGGAATTTGTAGCAGCACGACTCCAATGCATCAGAGTGATAGTGCACGACTGCGAATCTCTCTGCTCTTCTACTAAATATCAGGCAAAACCATTTGGATTTCTCAACCACTGGGAACAAATATAAATCGATATGGACTCTGTAGACATACACTCGTTGAAATACATGGAACTTAGAGTAATAGTTGAATTTCAGAATACGTGAATAGCCAATTTGATGAATGCTGTACAAACCTAATTCGGTGGCCGTATATGAAATAAGACTCTGTAGGTCCTTGGCGTTGCTAAAAATCTCTACAATCATCCTCTTCAAATCATCCCTTGATCAATGTGCTGTTAATCGATTTAAGTTGCCTCTCGAAATTATCAAATCAGTATAAAAGCTGCTCGCAGCCAAGAGAAGATACTAATCTAAAGAGATGGGATAGGCAAACACTCTATTTAACCAAATTATTAATAAGCCAACAGGTAAACTAACTGAGTAACCTTGGATTAGGATGTTAAAAAAAGAATCCAAAATTCAAATTAAGTAGACACTTGTCCGCATGCATCCACTTTCCAAAATCTCAGTTTCTATTTATTGCTTTAGCATGGATAATAACACAAATAATTTGGTGTAACTGGGGAGTGCAATAGACTTGGCAATGTATACTTATACGGCAAAAAGTCTATCAAACCGGCAGTTGACTTCTCACTTCAAACTACTATGACCCCCCCCCNCCCCCCCCCCCCCCCCCCACCCACTGTATGTCATATTCAAACGCTTCCACAGTACTCATTTTACCTTTTCTCTGCCTTTGTTTCTGCCTGTCAGTATTACATCTGTGAATCGCTCTTCTGTTCCCCCCCCCTCTCGATAGTTTTCACTTTGATGTTCCTCCTCCTCACTGTGAAGCCCGAAGTCAACTAAAGGGCTAATGATACCTATCATAAAGCCCGCCCTTTGGTAATTTTGTGTAACCTTGGTTTTCTTAGCATATCGATACTTGTACGTGTCATAATCAAATTCTCTATGTACCTTATCAAAGACTAAAATAATGTATTTATAGTAAATAACAGTCATGAGAAATCAAATTCCTACCCAAGATGAAATGGATCTGAGGATTTTGCGGGTATCTTCAATTTTTGAATCAGGCTCATAGATAATTTTCTTCAGAATTGCCGAAATTTGAGCGTAAAGTCCACATTGAACTGCTTTTTGTCTGCAAACACCACCAGAGCCCGAGAAACCGACTTGATTTATCACCTCTACATCATCTGAATTGGATGGAAGTTGAATATTCATCTGAACTTCTGTTGTCAAGAGCGTCAGTGTACCCATCAAAGGGAGGAGGAATTCTAAGCTGCTGTTTTCTTGAAGGCTTCTTTGGAATACGGGAAGAATTTTTGAGAGTTTGGAGGCGATAGCGATTTTGAAATCCACGCATGTTTGAAGTAATACTGATATACACACTAGAACAACAAGGGCATATGATAAACACCAGTACACTCACGAATGAACACATATCATAAATCGGATGTCAGCACTCAATAGATATCTATTATTAATTACCTAATGTCAAAATACAAATATCTCGGTTGGAACAGTGTTAATGGCCTAATTAGATATTGGGTGAAACTCCTACAATGGAAGAAATAATTGGAACAAATGATGATTTGACATTTCCTTTTGGATCCATTGTTCTGAGAGTAATTTAATAATCTACTAATAGGCAAAGCTCCAAAAATGTCATAACCCGCTTGACATCAACAAAAGCGTTGCCATGGCAATGGCTGAGTACGAGTTAAAAAAAGTGATACTCACGCATATCAGATGGTTGGAGTAATTTACGATTTGCGAAGACCGAAATAAAGGTTTTGACGGCTTCAGCTGGTTCAACCTCTCGCTGTAAGACAAAATATTTAGTATGAAGAAATTTGACAAACATGATTTTGCTCTACATGCATAATTTATTTGAGTGGTAGCTTTTAAATAGGCCATTTCTTTTAATTCCAAATGAAATAAGATCATGTTTTATACCCGTTTGCCAATATCCCCAAACGGGGGGGGGCAGATATTTAATTTGTGTGTCAACGCTTATTTGAACTCCAACGTTGATCAGGAGGTGTCGACCTTAAAACTCAAAAGGCGGAAAATACGAGCAATTCCTTACCCAATCAGTAGGGTGTGTTTTTAGGAGCCCAGTAAACGGATATCCAGGTTTATCGATTCAACGCGAATGAAGACTAACGACTTCTACCGTCTAAAATTCAATGGATGCATTTCATTTTGAAATGCGTGGCCGCTTTCCTCACTCTTTGAGGCGTTACCTAAGAGAACTGCACGTGCTTAGCTGTGTAATGGTAATTTATGCTTTTTTGCCCTTCTTTTTCTTAAATATTGAGGTATGGTTAGAGTTAGGGACGTTTTAAAGCATGTGTCTTCAAAACTGAAATGAAAATACATCTACTAATCAGGTAATTATAACAAATGTCAACTTTATGAGTAAACGGACGATTATTTCAATATCAGCCTTTTTCCAGATTGATTTTATATATAGTTATTGGGATAAAAAAGGAAAATTGAATATAGCTATATTAAATCCAAATTGAGGAGATAAAGCAAAATAGGAAAGACCAAACCGTTTAACAAAATCTGAACTTGGTGGATGTAACCTCATTCAAGAATCTTGGAAAACCAGATTATGACGATTGAACGCGACACTGCTGATTCAAGAAAAGTGTGCATAATCATCGATCCTATATTAAGAGACAATCTGGATTGAAACAGCGAAATCAACCTAAAACATGTCACATAATTTCAAATTCTCCACTGAATACCGATTAATGACCAATAAAAATTCTAATTTAATTTGATCTATAAAGTTTCCAACTTCTTTTTTGAACTTGAAGCATAAACATAGGAGAATAAACGCTCAAATAACATACGTGGTTCTCATCCATTAGAAAGATTCGTTGAAGGAGGAAAGTTACAGTTTCGATAATCAACTTGAATCGCTCAAGATCTTCATCATCAGCTGCTATTGCTGCTGTCATTAAAGACGCCAAGACTTCCTGATTTAGCGCCGTCCACGCAGCTGTCTAAACTTGCACATAAAATAAATCGATATTTTATCAAATTTATTGTTCAATACATTAAATTAGCCCAGTCTCCTCATGAACACTTTATTTCCATATGCAGGATTAAAAGCAGAGGAACAACACAATAACAGTTTTTTTGGCCTCAATAACTTACTTAATGACAAATTTTAAAGATGATAGGCAATTGGGAAAAAAATTCCAAAATATTTATTTGAAATGTAAAATATGCTTCATGTGTATTTCGAAAATGAAAGGAGCTGCTTACCAAAGAATGACAGTACAAGCCGATTATTTTCGTAATAATTTGAAATTAGTTAGTGGAAATGTAAAAGAACTTCGGTTTCTGACCAAACAACTGGCACATGTTTGCTTTCAAGTAGCTACTTTAGTCAATTCTACCCAATGAATTAACACATTTTTGGATTTATAGAAACAAAACAATATTCACATATTAAGTGGGAGCATTTTATATTTTAATGAAATTTTATATTGAAAAGGTTGCCGAAGTTGTGCTGCTACTCATTGTATTCCAAAATGAAAAATTTCGAGAGAACGTACAGTTGTGATGGCAACCTCCGAACATAACAAGTGGAGCACTCGTTTCAAATGATCCAGCGGAAGTTTTGTCGAATTGGTCGCAATGAAATCTAAAGTGCATTTAGAAATAAGTAGACTTAAAACAAAATATCAATGGTTATTTAAATCAAAATTAGTATAGAAATTAACCTCTAAGCCAGGTCGATGAATAGGCATTGCCTTTTTCTGGCCGAACGGATTCAGGTGGAAGTCGGAAGGAATGCAATCTAAAAATGTATTTTGCCAAATATATCAAATGAGTTAGGATGCATAATGTGGTGGATAAGAATTCGGTACGTGGTCTTGGATTTCTTACCTTGCCAGCCAAGTTCTCCATGTGAGATCAGGATCGAAAAGCCATTCGATAAATTTGGAACCGAGTTCAAAGACTTCACTCCATTCGCGAGAATGCTCAGAGCTTCTTAGTTCTTGTTGAAGCGAGTGGGAGAGTAATTGATCGGTAATCAGGAGATGCTCGTGGATAAGCAGCTTAGGGCGGTTTTCACGTCGTCTAATTAAGTTATAAATAAAAATAAAAGATAATTCTGGATACGTTTAAGAACATGTAATACAAATCATTTCACTTACCTGGCTATTAAACAAAGGAAAGTAAATATGGATTTATAACCAGGATTCCAATCCGGTTTCTCGCATAATTTCGAAAGAACAGAAAATACCTTCTGCAGACAGTCATGAGTAAGTATGTCAAAGGGTACACCATCGTTGGTGGTTCTTCAATTTAATATAATATATATTTAAAATAACAGACATTTCAGCATAAAGTTGTATTTTTTAAATAGCTCACGTGAGGTCAAGGAAATTTGAAGGAATTGAATATTCAATCTGAAGGGTTCGTGTGTATTGATCAAGTGACTGAAAGCAATTCTAAAATCAGAGACCACAATTAAAAGTATAAATAAAAATGATTATTGTGTAAATTGTAACATTCGGCTTCAAATATTGCGAACAATTAAAACTAAACAAAATATAGCGCATTCCTATCAATAAGTTAATTTGCTAGTAATAAGCGATCAAATTCAAAATGAATATAGAATGACGTTATAAGTTAAATTTCAGCCTGTTATTTTTTTGCATTTCCTTACCATTACCGTGATAAAATATTGATAGAATATTTTATTTCTTCTTAACTTACTTCGTTTATAAATACCTCCCATGAAGATACAGCGGTTGAATTAGCCATTTGTACAATCTAAAGCATTTTCATATAATTCGTAACGTGGGCTAGTTATGTTACACAATGAAACAAAAATGCTATGACCTTAAACGACCTTCAAACATGTGAAAGACTTATGCTATATAAAATTTTAGCTTAGTTCTTAGAAAGAAAAGCTCGTATTATATTTATATTTCAACTATACTCTAAGGTATTTCTGCATGTAGAATTTTAGAGCACTATAACATATCAGTATTGAGAAAATATATTAAAACTTTATATTTATTGCACCTTTAATAATATAGAACTTATCAATCGTTTTTCTAGTTTTTTTCCTTTGTATTAACTTCCTATTAATTATTTGCCTCCGCGGTTTTTTATTTGGTTTTATCTTTTAAATTTATTAATGGTTATGTCGTTTTTCCTAATTTTTGAATTAATTTCTTTTCATTTAGCAAATTTTTTTTCTTTCCAAGTGATAATTCTTTTAAGGCTTCAATAGGTCGATATGGCCTGTCTTAAACATTATAATTGATACATCAATATCCATTTGTAACGCTACTACTTGTTTGCTTGCAGACTTTTCCCTATATAAACAGTCATGCCACAACATCCATCGCTTAAGTTCAATGCTAGCTTAACCCTTCTGAATGTTTTTTTCTATGCTCAATATAGATCTTTAAACAGAGATCTACACTTCCTTTCTTGGTGCCATGGGGAAGATTCCTCAAAGATGGCAAGAAAATTAACTTAGGAATATTCTAAAACTTTGACTTACAGGTAAGTAACTTGAATAGTTGGTATATAATGGGCTTAAGTGTTCCCTATTTTGGTTGTAATGTCCAAACCATTTTAAGCAGCAGTAAGTATTGCAATTCGGGAGAAATATTATTATTCTTCAGCATCAAACTCCAATTCGTAATAAACTAAAAGCTCACTCGCATAAATAAATGATCAGAGCAATTTTAAATATAATTAATAAGTATTTATTATAAAAATACAACACAACTTAACACAAATAAGTGTTAATTGCCCTTATATAGGACCCAATAGCTATTAGCAAGTAATGCTAGCCCTTTGCATAGTCCGCAAGCAAAAATCTGCATCAAGATTAGCCAAACTACATCAAAAGTGGCAAGAAAACAAAAGGTTTTTTATTGAAAAATTAGATGAAATTCTTAATCATTTAATACGGTCGACGCATCTCTGCCCGAATATTAATTATTAATTGGCTAGGTCAACTCTGTAGCCACTTCCACACTTGATAATATATATAGCGTTTTGACTACAAAGAGCGATTCTTCTAATAATTAGCACATAAAGCCTAAAAATAGATTATGGTTCTCTGCTGAGGACTTTGAAGGATTTACTGACACCATGGAATGGAGACAATTGTATCACAGGGATTATATGCGACCAAAGTATAAATTTTAATAACACACCCCTCATGATAACTCCAACGGGCAAATATGTAAAAATTAAAAGCAATGTCTTATAAAACTGTGTAGTGGAGACAACATTTAGACTAATGAAAATGGGCAAGATGGAGAAAACAGTAATTGTGTTTTTAGACTTAAGTCTGACCTAATACTGATTTCATTTGTGTTTGTTTCAGAAACAATATTTACAGCCTTTACAATGAACCGTTGGGCTCCAACATGAAAGTCGATAAATTATGAAAAATGTCTTGAAAAAAAAGATAATGGAATTTTTCAACATTGCTTAAAGTTCATATTTTTTGTATCTTTAACAAAACAGTTTCGTGTTAGAAAGTATTTAATTCTTGTCAATTAATTCAACTTACGGGTTTTTGTTTTAGTAATCTGTGGAGACCATAATTAGAATAAACAACTATGTGCTAATCGCGTCAAGGACCACGTGAAGTTCAAAATTCATCACAGGGACATCGTATCCAAACTGTATTTTATTAATAGGCTCCATGCCAATAACCAGCACCGGACATACACACGCCCACAAAAACTAAAACAAGAGTATTACACTCCACGCATCTCTTTCCTCTATGTATTTTAGACAGGATGGCCATTCAAAATCAGGTGATCGTGCGATAGAGATTACTGAAAGTAAGTCAAGTTTAATCAAGTAGCCATCCTCTATACATCTGAGCTTACAACAGTGCAATGGAACAGTCTACTCTACTCTCTTAAAATTTAAAAGTTAGCTGTATCTCGGCCAATCTGCTCAATATATCAGACTTATTTACATTACTTTGTATATATTCTTAATCTCCTTCATTCATGAAGGTGATTCAAGCCAAAGATCATATAAAAGCTACCATCCTGGGAAACATCGAGGAAGCAAAAATAAATTAGACAATCCACGTCACTCAAGAACATGAACTAAATCACAATTTTACTTATTTTCTCTGGTCTGAAAAAAACTACTTTCATTAAAGGTTAAATTTTAAAGCACATAACTTAACGCCTATCCAGATTAATAGTATAAGCAGATATATTGACGCACTACTTACGTGTGCATATCATTCACACAAATTGCGCTAATCGTTAAAACGTCTTTTCATTGCTTTTTTTGACATTATCATTGTCGGATTAAAATGTAACCAAATAGCAATTAAAATGGATTAATTATGGAGTCGAAACGGCATATAAGTAAGACATTTCAGTAGTCTAAAAATTACCTTTCATTTGAAAATATAATTTGATGATTAAGAAGTCAAATGCTCCTTTATATATATGGGAGCAAGAAAAGAAATATCACACGGATTCGTTGCAATGCTCAACTTATAAGAAAAAACGTCATGTCATTTTATCCCATGAAACTCTTTTAAGAGCACATATTTTCGTTAAAAGACATTCAAGAATGTTGAAATAAGGAGAACATTTAAACACTAAGATTGACATGTCTTAAAAAAGTTGCTGTAAAGAGTTGTATTTAGAAATTGAAAAAGAGATTTTTAAATTTAAGAAATTTAATATTTGAAACATTTTAATTAGATAATGAATTAATAAGTCAAATTTAATTGTATAATTATGAGTTTTTTCCATAACAAGTTAATTTTTTTAATTAAAAATAGAATTTAAATTTAAAAATAATTATAATTCTTTTGGCATTGCGAAGTTTTGTTTGTTATGGTTTGGACTAATGGCTCCTTTTTGAAACTCATTGCTTCCCTCATATTTCATTTTCTACAGTCAGGGTAGGTTGTCGTTTTCCTTTTATATGTTCAATTTTCTCATTGGTTACTATTTCTCTGTATTTTTCCTTATTTTTTTATATAATGTCTTTGGCATATTTCATTTCTTAATTATAATAGTGTAAGACAAAAATGGAAGATCAAGATCAGACCCAATCCGCATCCCGATTGTGCCGACAAGGATGTGGTTATTTCGGCCATGCCATATTTGATGGTTTCTGCTCACAGTGCCATAAGCGCCTGCAGGATGAAAAAAATCCCAGCGAGCCTCGAGTGTCTTCTTGTTAGTGATTTCTTCATTTTTATGTTCTTTTATTTCATTCATTTGAACGTCTGACTTTCTGCAGCTCAAGAAATTGTTTCGAAATCCCAATCCTTTAATGGTCGATCATCCCCTGAGCTTACTCCGGACAAATCCTCGAATGATAGTCCTAATGCCGAATTTCCTACATCTGATGTCGTTGAAGATACATCGACTGCAGGTAACTTGAAACTCATTTCAATTTTAATAAAATCTTATAATTTTTAACTGGTGTTCTACATTAGATGCAAGTGAACCCAAGCCTTCAAAACATCCCCGCTGTCTTATGTGCAATAAACGTGTTGGGTTAACTGGTATGTAGTCTGTTTAACATGTCAAAACGTTATCTTCAATCTCTTATTTGGCTTTTTGATTCTCAAATTACTAGGATTTACTTGTCGATGTGGTGGTTTATTTTGTACAGTTCATCGGTATTCCGATGCCCATCAATGCCAATTTGATTATCGAGAATCAGGCCAAGCTGATATCCGCAAGGCCAACCCCCAAGTGATCTCTTCAAAAATCAATAAAATTTAGACACGGCTTTTAATCCCCTCTTCTGATGTTTGCCGCCGCGGACATGCTCTGTCTTAACATTGTCTTACACCTTGTGACCACCCCTCCCTAAAACTGTTCACATTTGACTGTAGGTATGTACTCATTAAATTTAGTCTCTTGGTTGTAAACATTGACTGATTTGGAGGTACTTCGATTGCTTCAGCACTAGCTTTTGGTACAGTTCTTTTTCTGGAGGAATGACTTGCAGTTTCTCCCGTCACGATTTCATCTCCCAATTGTACACAAAACTCCTTTAGTCCCTGCCTAATGTTTTCAAGCTAGTAATCGTCACTTTTAACAGCTGCCCTTCCTCATCTTATTTTCAGTCTGTTGTTTATGTCCTCTTTAACATCTATCATATACATCGCGCATATTCCTCTCTTCGTCCATTTACTCTGATGGCATTCTCATCTGTGTGCTGTCATTGTTCAAAACCTTTATAAACTATTTAAATCCGTTTGAAAATAGAGTGTGGGGGCCTTTTGTCATTTACTAGGTCTATTTCGACGGTTATGTCGCCATGTTAATTTACATGCACTGTGGACGTGGAGGTTGATGACGTCATTGCCGGCACGCGTGCATACTATTCCTTCCTTTAAAGTACCCGTTATGTGGACTCATTTTCGCGATATAGTTTCTGTCTTTTCAGCTAGTAATTTTGTTCATGTTTAATATGACTTTAGTTACATGTAAGTAGTGCTTTCATGAATGAATTAACAATCACATACTTTTAATTTATGTGATGTGAGTTAAGAGTAGTACTTAGTCTTGTGAGCGTGGGATGATTCCTATAATTTAAGGTATGTGGGTTAGTTCCGATTGTAGGGGTATTACCAATCTGTGTCTATTACTTCTAATGACACGCTGTGGCTTTAATTATTTCTGTTCAGCTGAGTTTCGGTTGCGGTTGTCCCGTGGCAGTAGAGCCAAACATGCGATTTGTGATAAATTCTGTTTGAAACGTGTTGTTCAAGTTCTTGGGTTGCATGACATTTTTCAAGCTGAAGTATTTTGGGTGAGGGCGAATTTTGGTATAACCCAACTTTACAATCACTAAATTGAAAGGAGACTGAGTTTGATATAGAAGGAACAATCAGTCCGCTCTCTTGAAAATTGAAATTAAGTATAAAAGCGCAACGTGAAGGCGTTAGTTTGGTGACAAAGTAAATAAATTGTCAACTTGCAATCCGAGAGGTTTATCATACACAATGGCGCAAAAGCGGTAGGATAGTTCCTTTAGTGCCTTCGCATTTAAAACCTAGACTTAGGCATGGTGGTAATTAAAATTAGGGAGTGGAGTTATGTTGGATCAGAATGACCTCACTACTAGGTCATCTCTAAAAGAGGGGTTTCGGACATCTACTCTTGTAGAGCAGCGACTACTACTGGCGATCACTAATACTTGCGGCTTTAGCATTTCTATGGCCTTCTCTCTGATGAGTTGTTAAAATTTTGCCATCATCTATATCAGACAGACTAAACTAGTGCAACTGTCAATACGTTCACAGGGTCTACGCTGAACCCGTGATCTTTGATAATTACAGACGTTAGGTGACCAATGCACATCTATTTATGTGAATGACCAAGCACACGCTGGTTTATCCTCCTGTTTAGCGGTATGAGGGGTAAATTTTGAATGAATGTAGGATGCTTTTCAAAAAGGTCATTAACTCTACTAATGGTCAGTTGAGAAGGTGGTCTTGAGGTCTAAATAATAAACTAAGTACAATATATATGATATATTTGTAAATGTAGGCATATGAGTAATGCATGGGCACAGAAAATGTGCGGCAAGTTTTCCTCCAATGCATTGCACAAAGTGGGGTTCCTATTTCTAGCTTCAAGGAAATAAGTGCCTCGCAGAAAAATACCGAAAGAGCTATAACTTGTATACGAATTAGATATTCATATGTACTTAAACGAGTAGACTAATTAAGTGGGTCATGACCTTTGTGTTGTTTCTCGGATAATATCGGTTTTACGGGTCATTAATCTACTGGGTCAATATTATGGAGTGCTTTAGCCAAGAATTGTGCTTATAGAGACAATCTCATGTACTCAGAGTGAGAAAAGCTGTTTTAGAGGCCAGTTAAATTTTATGAATGGTGCAAAATAATTTGTTTGTGTTAAAAAGTTTCAGGCTGCTTTATGGGGTCAATAAATGTTTAGCCGAATGGTCATCATGGCTAGCTTCTACTTTTATTACGATTTTGGGCGAAAAGTTGATAGTTCCTCTATCAAAATCTTTAAGCTGACTCATGAGATTCAGCATATTTTAGCCTGAATGAGCATTGAATGCTACTTTTCCAGAGCAAAGCCACTATGGGAAGGCGATAAACTAGCTTCCTTCTTAGAACCAATGATCTTCCTAAGTTAAATAGGAAATAATAGCACTTCATTAATAAGATGAATGGCACTATTGGTTTATTTAGCCGTTGAAAGTGGATAGCAGTAGAAAGAAGGAACGATTGGGAGAAGGAATTTGGAAGTAAGAGGGATGGGGGGGGGGGAGAGAGATGTAAGCAGTAAGGGATGGCGACGAAATGAGGCTCTGTAAGATAGTGGACCGATGTTGTATGCTTTTTTTTCACTGACAGTTATGGTAAGGACGAGGGATGAGAGCGCACAGGTTCTCAAATGTTCGTTTTTCTCTTTTCTGATCTATAATTAATGCTGACCCGGAGGAGTCCCTTGAAGTAATTTCTTTTCTGTCCAATATCTGTTCCCGAGTCCGAGTGAACAGCTATCTAGCAATACCAAGTGAACACAGGTCACAACAGCAGAAAGTAGTATTAAACAACGAAGAAATATACTTTATTTCCTATAAATAAACACACGTTGTGTATGCAGGTAAAATGTAGTTCCACGTCACTACCAAGTACCGCTAGATCAACAGCAACGTGTGAGAAGAGGGCACTTCTGAATCACGCTTCCTGATGTAGACACATGGCTTCAAGGGGTTTTGTGGAATGGTTAATCTGGCCTTCCACTCTCGTGTCTTGCTTGGACGCATCACACGTTTATAGGTCAAAATGATCTACCAAGATGTTGTTCCTAAAGTCAGAAAACTTAGTATGCAATTTAGAAGATAAAGTACTATTAGAAAGATATGACTTCATTTAAAATTTCCACAGCACTTCGAATATTGCAGGTCAGCAGGTCAGATCGTTAAATACTCTGTTTTTAATTACGGCCACTGTTGTACATACTTGGAATATAGAGTGCGTAAATGTATTTTATCTGATTTAAGCCGCCGAATGGTGGTGGATGGAGTTATGAACGTACTTTCTTTCTTCTTAATGAGTCGATAAAAGAAATTCAAGTAACAACTGCCTTGACCCTCATCTAGATATTTGCGATCAAAAGTTCTTACGATTATTGAGTTCAATTGAACTCATTTGATGACTGCCTCATATAAGCTTTCGTCATTACTCATTAAAAAGGTCATAAGCAAGACCATATGCAATCGATTATCGGGTCGATGATTTTATTCAGGTCTCGTTTTGAGATGCATTACCTAGTGATAAGAGGATTGGTCACTGCAAGCATGCTTGTGAAATACTTCTCATGCACGTTATCTCGAAAGGCGCCTGTATCAGCGTTTCTTCCATAGAGGTACTAATCGGTGAAATGACCCATACTCATGAAATCTTCAAAAAATAAAAGTGTCAATATGTTCTAATCAGCCTGGCGTGGTTGAAAAAAAGTTCGAAACACGATAGTAATGCTTGAATCATGGGGTGTGCGATAGACTTACCTCCACGTGGTGCACCCTGGGCAACGTAAACTCACACGGCAAAAAAGTCTATTATTCGGCAGTTGACTTCTGACTAAAAACTACCATGACCCCATTCTATGTCATTTTGGACCACTTCCATAGCACTCATTTTACCTTTTTCTCTACCTTTGTGTCCGTCTCTTTTACATCTTTAAACCAGTCTTCCATTCCTCCCTATCGACTTTTTTCACTTTGATGTTCCTCCTCCCCTCTATGAAGCCCGAAGTCAGCTAAAGGGCTAGTGATAACTATCAAAACGCCTGCCATTTGATTTAAATAAATAAATGTTTGAATCACGAGATGTTGGTAAGGTACATAAGAGGCTGCTACCCCAAAAGCCAGGCACGATAAGAAGAGTTCTTTTAATGATTGTGAGAGGTTGCCCTTGATATACCACGTGGTATATCAAGGGCATCCTTGAGTTGTACCGTGTCGAGTTGGTACCTACTCATACCACACTAACTAGACTTAACGTTCTACAATTGAATCAAAACATTTCTTCTCTGGTCTGAGTGTGTGGTTTCCAAAGCGTTGCAGACGCTCGGAATTCCTCTATGTCATTATATCCGTATGCAATTGAAACTACAGTGTTAAGTCTGAATTGTCGTTTCCTCAAAATTTATTTATTTATATCAAATGGCAGGCATTCTGATAGTTATCATTAGCCCTTTAGTTGACTTCAGGCTTCACAGAGGGGAAGGAACATCAAAGTGGAAAAAAAAGTCGAGAGAGGGGGGGCGGAACAGAAGAGTGCTTCAAAGACGAAGGTAGAAAAAAGGTGAGGTGAGTACTGTGAAAGTAGTCGAATATGGGATACAGTGGGATCATGGCAGTTTGAAGTCAGAAGTCAACTGCCCATTGATAGACTTTTTGCAGTATGAATATACGTTGCCCAGGGTGCACCACGTGGAGGTAAGTCTATCGCAAATGCTATGACCAGTCGAACTGGCCGACAATAAAGTTTCAATAAAATTCAAGTCCTCTATCCTAAACGAGCACTGAAACATATTAACCTTACTTTAACCAGCGATTTGTACTTTGTAACGAATGAGGTACTACCACCAGCCAATATTTTAAACTTAATCGAATCAAGTGCGTCCTGTTATCATTAATCGGACACACTTAAAACTGTGTGACATTAAGAACCTATAAATCGCAACCGTGTAAACTATTAGCTATTACAATTTCAATAATGTGCTAT